TTTCCTTTATAATATTCTTGCTGCTGCTGAAAGCCAGCCAGGTGGCGCTGGAAGTTTCTCGTTTCGTAGGCGAAGACACTTTTTTAGCCGCAGAGCCAGCGGAGTAAGTGAGTTATAATATTATATTAGTGTAAACAAAACATTTAGGCAAGTGAAACGCATCATTTCGTCATGGTATGTCAGATATATCATCATATAGTATCATTAAAGCATGCAAATACAGGGGTCTAGGCTCCGAATGTGATTTTGTCCCATTGGGTGTTGAGACCCAAGGTCCGTGCGGTACTAGCGCTTTAAGGCTTTTTAAGGAAATAGCTAATTGTCGACATCACAGGAGACCAAAGAGCTGGCAGCTACCTCGGACAAAGAATTAGTCTAGCTATTCAAAAAGGGAACGCTGCCAGTATCTTCGGAACCTTACCTAAAGGGTATAATAATATATTTTAAGGTAAGCTATTGTTTTTTGTTATATTAATTTATGTTATACAATAAGTAATTTTTTTGTTTGCTACATATGACATTAAATGGTCTTCATTATAATTATATATTATCTACGCCGTAATGTGTAAAAGTTTACCGAACAAAAATCAAAATGAACAAAAAGATATAAACAACACACAAAGCTATACTCTGCTATGTTACTATAAACATATCGAAGAGCTTCAATCGCTTGTCGTTTCATACAAAAATTCATTGCAATAGCGCTTTTATTTCACGTTATAAAAGTAAATCGTACTGTAAATGGAACATGGGTTGAACACAAATTCATTTGAATCAAATTAAATTGGAGAGCATTACCAGCTAACATAGTTCCGAAGTCACGGTCAAACACGACTAAAGGGTTCTAATTACATATTTCACGGTTTCAATTAAACTTTGGTTAAATTGCATTTGTAATTTCTCTATTTGGTTAATGCTTTGTATTTTGCAGGTATTTTACACACACTATTTATGTTGGATAGGCGTTTTTCAGAAACAAAATCAACATATATGTTAATTTAAACAGCATTTTTGTATTAAAAGAACCATGTGGACTGTAATTAAAAAAATCATTCATTAAAACCATGACAAGCAAATATACAGTATATACAATTTTATTAAACTACATAAAAATTATTAAAAACAAATTTAAAAAGTTTGGTCCCTGTGGCAACTGGCTGGTGTACCTTTAACGCTGGCTAATATCCTCGCTGTATTGCGATACTTATTCGTTGAGCTAGGAAAGCCAACCAGCTCTGGGGTCACCAGTACTGTCTACCAGGCGCCAACTTAAATCATTAGCGCCTGTGCACTTGAACCCCGCGGCTAAGTCTCCAAAGGGAACAAAATCGAAGTTGGAGGAAAGACTCTTATATTTCAGCCGTTTATTATTTTCCACCTGCTCTGCGGCCGCCCCAGCTTTTTTGCTTGTCTGAGGGACTGTAATTTAGTTTTATAACTAGTACAACGTTCGCAACTTTTTTAAATTAGACTAAAAATCATAGACAAGAGTCACAGATGCAAAACTATAAACAAACCTTAAAAAACTTATTAATCAAGGACTACTAACACATGCAAAAATGGTTTTACAAAAACGTACAGTGTATGAACTATTTTATAAACGGTGTTTTGGTTTTGTAATCTTAATAGATATACATTACGTATCACGTTGTTTGTCCGCTATGGACTCCTCAACTACCGAACCGATATCAATCAAATTTGCACACCGTGTGTAGTTTGATCCAACTTAAAAGATAGGATGGCTTTCATCTCAATTTATACCCGCAATATTATTGAGATGGCGCTGTGTTAAAAGAACCAACGTTTCACATAAGTTCTCCTACCGTTTCCCTTGAATGGTTTACTACTATGTCATATAACAAAAACCTTAGCCACAGCAACGCTTGGCCGGTCTGCTAGTATATAATAAAAATTAAAATATAAATATCTAACAAAACTTCCCTTGACATTTTAAAATTAATGAGAAGATAGAAGACCATATAAATAACTCCGTAATAAAAAAATACAACCTTCGTTTTTGGTAGTAATATATGGTAAACGTTGGTGGTAATGAAAATTCCACTCTCACATACTGTGAAGTATATATTAGGGTGCCTTGTATGGGCACTTCAATGCAGCTTCATAATATGTAAAATAGCGGTTAACGCAACCCGTCAAAATAAACATAAATTCACTTGGGTCGTTTTGAAAGCAGAGAATATACAAAGAACCTGGTTAATTTAAAGGTGTCAAAAACTGTTGGGTTGCTAGTTATTTATATTCGAGTACTATTATAAGGATTACATTAAGTTATTATATTTTATATTAGTACACGACCTCCGAAGGAGTGAAGGCCTCGTGCTGGCTCATTTATTTCACCTTCCCATTTTAAGCATTAAATTCTTCATTTTTGTGGCCTACCGTTAGTAACACACCCTTCCACCACCATTTTTGAATAGCGTTTTTTTTATTTATCGTTATCGTTATTATGGTACTTACTTATAGTACTTTAATATGAAAAAACAACGTGCCGAGTCATTGTGCCGTATTTGACAATTAAAAAAGTTTGTGCCCGTGTCTATTAACTTAGAAGTCTGTATTCAAAACTTACCAGTCAAGAAGGAAAGTCGCCGCATCGCAGGGAATGGGTGATTTCCCGAAGTATCCAATAAGTCCAGTTGGTACACTTCACCTCGAATTCTATACAATTTGCGATGAAAGTCCTCGATAGTGGGTGTGTAGCTATCCTCGAACTTGTTCCCCAAGAAACGGGCCACTAGGGACGTCTTCCCGACTCGTGCTGACCTAGACAGAGAATTAATTAGGATTTAACGAGCGAAAACATTTGAAGTCTTAGTGTAAATAGTTTTAAGTCTGGCAATAGCTTTGGGCGTCTTAATAATGATAATTGTACATTACTTTGTATACTGCTTAGTGGCTAGGCGTTTTACTATGAAATCTGAGGTGTGTTTAAACCGCAGCTGTGCGTTTAAGTTCATACGATGAAGGGAAACATGAAAGGAAGGATCTTTTTTGGAGGAAAGTTGACTATTTGACAAGTTACATAGTGTACAAGTAAATTTGTTCACAACATTTGCTATAGTACTTAGTCTACTTCCATAATGCTTTTATAAAACTTAATTTTAGAGCGGTAACTATTCGTAAAATGATTTCGGTTTGTGTCTATGTTTAAAATGTCAACCGTAAATAGCCGAATTGGTTATCGGCACGTGTAGAACCTTTTACTGTCAGCCTTGTGATTCTGTAACTCACTTTTCGAACTCGCACAGCGGTTTTCGCAGCGGCGGTCGACTGATTAACAATAAACTACAAGCTCCCTCCTTATCAGAATGTCAAATCGTAAAATGACTGCTTCACGACTGATTTGAGCGCGACAGAATCGCAAGGCAGGCTTCATAAATAGGCTTCATCGCTAAAATTACTATTTTATATTATTAAAATTCGAAACTGTTGGTTTGGTATCTCAAAACAATTTTAGTCAGTCTAATAGAGAAATAGTAAACAGATTCATGTAAATAAATTTATGTTCGAATGTATACTATTTGTAAAATGCGTTTAAATACAAGGCCAAATTTTGAAGTCTGGAGTCTGGCCTCGGGGCAACAAAGGAGTACAATTATTTTCCAAATAAAATGAACAATTTTTTTCAGATTGAGTTTTTCAATAATTTATTGTGAAACCAAGTAGATTATTTTAGTATTTAACAAACATATAATATATCAAAAGAAAAGTTGTTTATTATTTACTAGACGGAATTTAAAACAATTTTTTTACCGAAGCCTCTACTGTCCCCTGTTATGTCTCCGGTTTCCCTCGCCTAAATCCATTAGGTATCTCCTAAGTAATTAAAACTAATCAAACAGGAATTACTCCAGCTTTACATACATTTATTAAAAAACACTCCTCTTGTACCAGAGTTAATGCTGGAAAGCACCAGTTCTGGGATTATCAGTACTACCTGACGCCTAAAATCTTGAATTAGCTCCTGTTGACCTAGACTTTATTCAATTACAAGTTAATTTAAGGTTATTAATTAATGCGGTAATGTATTTTAAGAAAGTATTTTCATTATTAATTTGTCGTTAATGAAAAGCTTTCTGAATTAGCAAAACTCAAGCAAAAGCCAACGAATTTAGTATTTTAATAATCTGACTCGTAATAACTATAGTGATTTCATTCGCCTTTTAAAATAATTTATGTTTCGACCCATGAGTTAGTATATGTAGGGATTTCTGTTCGTAGTTATTTCTCAATAAGATAGTTTGCATATAGTAATCAGAATCTGAATAATTCTAAGGCAAATATTATAATGAAATTCTTAAATAATATTGTAATAAAACCCACAGCAATAGATTCATAAATCTGAACGAAATTTGGGAATAAAAAGGAACATTTTGCGTATCTTTATGAATGGGAAATAAAGGTACGCTTCAGGGTACCTTTTCACGGTTAAAAAAAGTAAGAAATCTTCGGGTTATATCTACATTCTAGGGACTATTTGAATGGTTCACATTTTTTTCTTCGCTCTTAAGATTTTCTTGAAAAAAGGAACCGTACTTTAATTTATAACTTATTTTATCTGCGGATAATTATTACATCGGAATCTATGTTATCTGCATTACCATTGTCTATTATAATATAATTGATTAAATTAAACTAGAAAGTAATTTAAACAAATGTTAAAAACACATGCAAGTTCTTTTATTATTTTTTGGCTAAAAAGAACTTCTGAATGGCCGATTTAATTTATAATATTTCCGTTCTTTTATCTTTTTATTACATTTTAAGACACTTCAACGCGAAGACTACATTATTTTTATCCCCAAACATAATTATAACATAAGATCGTACGAAATCGAATCAAACTCTCAGACATCAATTAGAAGTCGTCAATTAATCATAATTAAACTTAACAACGTTTATCAATTTCTTAATTAACATTATTTGTTTTGAAATATGGCAAATAGTTAACTAACTATTACAACAAGCATTGCATTACTATGTTCGCTGAATTAAATGTAATTCTTTTACTCGTAAGCCGTGTTTATTCTGTGCAAGTGATAGTATCTGAAGGCATTTTAGATGGCGAAATAAATTATAATTATGGAGATGCCTATTACAATTTTCAAGGGATACCATATGCTCAGCCACCCGTAGGGGACTTAAGATTCAAGGTAACATTTCACATTACAAACCAATAGGCTAGGTATTGATGTGTGTGACATTAACATCTAACGCTATACGTAATTTTCTCAATGTAACATTTCTATTAGGTACGTTTAAAGTTAATAATAGTAGTACGGGATGGCTTATGGGATTCAAAAACGAAACAACTGTGTTATTTTGCTGTAATCGAATCCGAGACGATACATCAAATAAGGGCCACTCCAATGAGCAATAAGAAGCAGTTAGCGAGTTACTGCACGGAATTGTTATACAATTAGTAGGAGAATCGTAGACAATTAATTGATATATTGAATGATATGAGAAATTTATGATCAGGGTTGTTGCCCCATGCCCATAGGCATCTCATGTCCCTTCTTTTGGATGAACAGTTTATTGAACACGTATTGGCCACAACTCACCGATATCCAGATTGTACATTCTTATAATCGAGCTAGGTCTGGATATTTATATGTGCTTCTCTCACGCTTAGGAATAAATTATCCTTTAGTTTTTATAATTTATGCTATGAATGTTTTTATTTTTTTTCTCTTCATGTTTGTTATGTTTGCTTGCTATAAGTGTTTGTCACATTAAATCTTGTATTTTATTTTTCTTGTACCAATGTATCAGTGTGTCGAATGTCACATGCTTTTGTAAATGAAATTGTAAGTATTCTACGACGCTTTTTAGCCACCGCAACCAGCCAAGCCGTGGTACGGAATTAGACAAGCTAAAAAACCAGGCAATGTTTGCTTTCATTACGATACATCACCAATAGGATATGAAGATTGTCTATATCTTAATGTCTTTACACCAAACATCTCTACAAAACGACCCTACGCCGTCATGGTTTGGATTCATGGAGGAGGCTTTACAAGAGGCAGTGGAAATGAATATCAACCAGATTTCCTCATAAGGAAAGACGTTATTTTAGTCACTCTCAATTACAGATTACAAATACTAGGTTTTCTTAGCCTCGGAACAAAAGATATTTCAGGAAACATGGGCCTAAAAGACCAAGTAGCAGCGATTAAATGGGTAAACAATAATATAAAACACTTTGGAGGAGATCCGGACAATGTTACAATCTTTGGACAAAGTGCGGGGGCAGTAAGTGTTTCATACCATTTAATCTCGCCCATGACGAAAGGGCTTTTTAAAAGGGCTATAACGCAAAGTGGCACCGCACATGGTTGGTGGCCAAGGTCATTCAGGCCAAGAGATACTGCTGTTGAAATGGCTCGCCAAATGGGGTGCAATTCCACTGATGTTGAGGTAGTATATACATTCTTAAAAGCTCAACCTCTCAAAGCGTTCAACAAATGCGATATCTACATCTCTTTTGCACAATATGCTAAAGAATCACCCAAACTTGTTTTTGGAATTGTCTCGGAGGAAAACTTTGGTGACGATGTCTACTTTCAAGGTAACGTTTATGACGCTTTAAAAGAAGGAATACACGCAGACGTAGATATTTTGAATGGTTATACGGCTGATGAAGGAGTACTCTATTTTATGGCTGACACGAATTTTTCCAAAGTGTTTCAACAAGCTAATCAGTTTTTAGAGTTTTTTGTTCCAGAACCGTTGGCGCTAAATGTTCCTTTACTCGAACAAATGATTATTGGGAAAGCAATGAAATATTATTACCTCAAAGATGCTGTAGTATCGAAAGAGAATATAGATAAAATGCTTATGTATATCAATTTTGATATGACTATTTATAGTACATTATTATGGCAGAAATTTGTGGCTAAGAGGAATAAAAATATAAATTATTTATATAAATTTACATGTGAATCAGAAAGAAATGTTTTTGGTAATATCAACAATGCAAAAAGTCTTTTTCAAAGACAGATAGTTTCACATTCTGATGATCTCATGTACTTATTTCCTATGAATTTGGAATCTGATAGAAAGTCCGAAACGTTTAAAATTATTGATAGAGTCACTACTCTGTGGACCAACTTTGCAAAGTTTGGGTAAGTATTTTAACGAAATCGTAACGTTATTCATATGGTAATTATAAAGCTGTTTCAATATGAAATATGCAAGTGATTTATCAGATCGATTACATCTACATACATAGAAATTAATCGCAAAATGAGTTGCTAAGAGCGAAATTCAAAGACGGCTAGACCAATTCAAATATTTTTATACAATCCTTGAACTCTGAGTAAAATAAAATTGTTTTATTTACATAGGTTTTTACTCTGGAAAAGTCTCTATGCGGTAACATAGCTAAATGTTCCATATGTTGCTACATAAAAAGACAGGCTAAGAAAAGAAATCATATTATTGCGTAGGTCGCGGATACAGCAAGTTTTAAATTAAATTGCAATATTAATACGTTTATTAAAACCCAAACATAACAATCAAATATACAGTTACGATTTTCTTCAACTACATTGTTATAATAAAAATAATTTAAAATCAATAACTAACGTTAAAATATAATAGTTAAGATATATTATTAATACCCTCGTCCCTTTAGGCAAGGTTCCGAAGATACTTGCAGCGTTCCCCCTTTGAATAGCTAGACTTTGACTTTGACTAAAATAATAGTAAACTACTATGAAGGCATTTATGATGTACGCGGGTCTTAAACCGATGGTAACGTCCCTTTAAAAAGTATGGGAACAGTTAATAATCTATATTCAGAAGTAATTTATTTGAAAATGTCTGAATGTTATTCATAGATATTTTTATCGATCAATTAGCTTTTTTCGTATCGACAAAATCGACGAAGGCTAGCATATATTACTTGAACCTCCTCGTAAATTTTAGTTTAGCATATTTTGTAATACATATATCAAATTCTGTTTTAGGTCGTTTCTAAAACAAAAAGTAATGTGACGCACCTAGTGGCTTCAGAAGATTCGTTCCTGAGGTCGTAGGTTCGATTCCAAGCTTTACACCAATGATCCTTTCTGTCATGTGCGCCTTTACCCCTCACTAATACGCTGAAGGAAACTCGTGGGAAACTACGTAATAAAATTATTGTCATCTAAATAATTAATACATTTTCTAAAGGTACTAAGAATTTCTAGTTATTGCAAATAAAATAATGAATACATAAATAATAATAATTTGAGTATGCCGTTTTGGATTAAATATTTGCTATTGTGCTTTTTTAAAGGATAATACAAATTCTTGCATGAAATGAACTCAATTTGTAGTTTCGACATTTTCTGTCTTAGCTTGGGCTAAGCTTTAACCCACCGCTTAAAATGTCTATCCATGCGTCACAGTTTAACCTTAGTTACACTAATAAGGTTTTTCGAAGGCAAGTCTGAGCAAAGTCCAAGTGCGCACATAGATCTCCCTTAGACCCAAAAAGTCGGCGTGTGTCGGGCGCAAAAGGATAACCTACTTGCCTATTCAAAAGAATTGATAGTGCTTTTAGTCATTTACTTCAGTTCTACCCTATTAAAGTTATTTATTTACTAAAAATATTTTTTTTGTTATTTATATTAAATGGGCATATAACAAATTTGTTAAACAATAACCAAATTGATATTTAAACGTTATTTATTTATTTTCACATGGTATAATACATTCATACATATAAAAAAAACTGTTTACATAAATTATTAGGCAACGGGCGACCTTATTGCTAACAAGCTATTTCTACCAGGTAATCCTAGTGTAGAAGAATATAAATAAATAAACACCTACAGAGGCTAAAGTACAAGAAGTGCGTTATTAAGAAAAAAAAATATAAAAGTAAATGTAACACTAGATTATACCAACTAGAACTAAACTATACAAAAACTAAAAATGATAGTTAATATTTTTATCAATATTGTTAGTAGTTATTAAAGCATTCATAAGCACATAAATAAAAGTTTTTTTTTTCAGAGACCCAACACTAAATGAAGGCCTTGGTGTTACATGGTCATCATATACATTAGAAAGGCAAGTCTATCTTGAAATAGGTAATAAGTTGAAGTTAGGGGCATATCCAGAAAGGGAGCAAGAAGAATTTTGGAATACCATATTTAAGCACTATTTGCCGCTCGTCTTACCATAGTCATAGGAAATAAATTAATTTAAACTAAGCGTTTAAAGTTATTTTAGCGTAAAAATTGAAATTTAATCAATGTTTTTTATTCAAACAAATTTGTATGTACTATAACGCGGTATTTCCAGCTATAACGCGGAGATTCCTCAAGTTATATTTCTGTAGTGTGAAGTTTATAATATTTTGTCAAAGTCCATAATTAGTTTTGCGTACCTTTCACCTGTTTGTTGGGATGTTATAAAACTAAATAACTTTATTAAATTATATTATAACTGTTCAAAACAGCAGTTTTACGAGAGTACTCCTACAACGCGATTTCGTATAACGCGGTGTACCCGGACCGCGTTTTACTGTATTAACAAATGGATTTTAGGTTTAATTAGGCAAATATATAGATATATATAGAAAGCACCCCAAATGCTTCACCCACCCACGAAAAATACTTGTATAATACTTTCTGGTTTCGTCACCCATTGGTAAAATCCTGGGTTACAATCCCAGCGATTAACGGTTTCAAATTACCTATATCAACAATAATTTAAATTCCATATCCCCAGACATAAACCTTACAAATACAGCCACTGTAATGAAATAGCTAACAAACATAATATTCATATTCATTAAAATTAAGAGAGAACTATTGATACTATTAATCCATAATTAAACTTTAAATTAACGCAAAAATTCCTAAATTATTAAATATAATGTTCTCTCTTTGTTATTACTATATAGACTTCTAATTAAAACGTCTGACAATAACAAAGGTTCAATTTCCGTTTAAGAAAATCTTAGCGTCATTCGTCCAGTGTTATTGCTAAAAGCCTTTTTCTTTTTAGCCACAGAGCATCAAATAACGCTTTTAAGAGCGCAGCATCTAACAGATTGTCCTTCATTACTTTCCTCTGTAACTTAATTTGAACTTGGTTGTTCTTTTAAAAGAAAGAAAAACTTTTAGTTTGAAATATCGTTTCTTGTCTTGGTTTGCGCTCTTGCTGTTTTATTAATATTGGTTTAAGTAGGAAATGCCCAGTTTATATCAAGTAGTTACTTTATTACAATATTATTTATTGATATAAGAAAACAATACACATACAACTCAGTAACAAATGTAAAAGATGTGTGCAACGGGTCGCCTTATCGGTTGTAAGCTCCAATGGCAAAGGAAACCGGGATGTCTCAGCAACGCGACGTGTTAGAAAAGATCCAAAAAGGTTGCCTTTTGGATAATTACATAAATGATACATAAAATACAAAAGTTTTTATGTAAACTTTAAACATTTATTTTGCATATTTGTGAAGTTATTTAAACATAGCATTTTTGTCCAAAGTTAGTAATTTAATTTAAAACTCTCGTACAACACATAACCATATATCACATTTAGAATTCAGGACGAAATGTTGAAGGATTTATCAAGTCTACGAGAATAAATCAGTCTTTTAGAAGCCTCTAAGTGTTTACTTGGGTCTCGAAACTTGACCTTAACCGGAGGCAAATATTGCCACAGCATTATCATACTAAATTAATTTTATCTTCAATCGCAACGATATATTTTAAGATATCATAGTGCACGTTTTAAAGGTCATATGCAACATAATATTAACTTGAATCTTGAAGTGATTATCGATGCAAAGTTTGCGCTTCTTATAACGAAACCAACTCTGCTTTAAAATATACCTGCAATATACTGAGTTAATAACAAGCACTCCCTCATAAAATAACATTCCAGGGTGGTATCCTTACATTCCTACAATTCAATAAAGACATTACATATTTTGTATGATTCCGTGTATGACCACAATTTTTGCGATCTGTTCAAAAACAATATCCTTCAGACACTTATTTACACTTAAACCCTGCTGAACCATATTATTATTAACTACATTGGCTAGTTTTATACTTATATGTTTTAATTTATTCGGAGCTTATCTGGTTTATATTTATTAACTGTATTTAATAATATGTAAGGAGTCTGCTGCATGATTTTAAAGGTTCGCCTTGTCCATCATCTATAATATTATTAACATGCCGAAACCGAATGATTTTCCCACATTGTGGATTACTCAAGTAAGAAGACGTACCGAAGCTATTGAGGTATTTAGAAATCTCTTGTGACTTTAATGCCAATATTAATTTAACTATGAAGAAATTTGAACCCAAATTACATCCCTGTGCAAGCGTGGGCTCATATAGTCACATCGTGTATATTAGCTATCTCCGTAAGCCTTATCCGCCCGCTACGGGTCGCTATCGCTAATTGGTTCTCAGGCTACGAAGCCTGAATCATTATAAAATTATACGCTTTCACAAAAAGAACTTTGAATTTTAATTAAATATTTATTAAGAATAATATATCATTGATGTTAAGAATAAGGATTCAGCGACTTATATTTTGGTAATGGAACCGAAAGTTTTTAAATATTTTTTTTGTATAAGTTTAAGTTTAGCTTAGTCTTCTCATATAATGTTGTAGATTACTTCTACTACTATCAGACATAAGAATTATTTTTGTAAGCATTTCTTACACTGCATCAATAAATCAAAATATCATATCTTATCGGTAACATGAATCACTTATGAACAACAAATGATAAAAGTAATTATTTTAATATTAAACTTAGTGCCAGTCTTCAAATTAACAGCATAGAACGAACAAGAAAAACTGGTTAGAAACTACGCTTTTTATCAAAAATTTCTGTTCTACAAGATGCGTCTGAGAAGGTACAACCATTATATTTACACATTCATAATCGTTTACGTTTTCGAGGAGGTGGTTGGAATTATATTTTATTTTCTAAGTAAGTCTTAGTATAAAATATATAAGTGATTAATTCAAGGAAACGGTAAACCTTTCTCTTACTTGCTTTCCTACAAATAAAAACCTATTCGACTCAAAATGCAGAACTCATATGTTTCTCGTTGAGTGTTTCTATCTAAGGACCAAATTTGCACACAATAATAATCATTTCACTTGTAATTATAGTTGCTCTAACAATAAAGTTTCTGTTTATTTCGATTTTGGGTCAGAAATTAGAATCCTAAAATAACAAAACCGACAATCGCCTCGTGAGTAATGAGTTTTCTATCAAAACCCAAATAGCAATTGGGGCGAGCTACAATTAAATTTCCTTTAATGTTTAAACAGTGTTGGCCTTTTGGCTTTAGCGTGCGACTCTCATCCCAGAGTCCGTAAGTTCAATCCCCGCCTTCCGAATTTAACATTCGCTCGAACGGTGAAGGTAAACATCGTGAGGAAACCGGCTTGCCTTAGAACCAAAAAGTCGACGGCGTGTGGCAGGCACAAAAGGCTGATCACCTCGCCTACTAGATGCCTATTAGATTGAGAAATGATCATGAAACAGATACTGAATTCTGAGGGCCAGACCAAAACAGGTTGCAGTGCCACTGATTGATTTATTTTATTCTTAAGCAAATTTTATCACGTGTACTGACACGTAACTTAGGAAAAACGTATCTTTACAAGTCAAGTACCGAACATTTATATATAGATAATATAAAAAATAACACCACTTTTTTCTTAGATATAGGTTCATACTTCTTTTTGATTTATCTTCATATAATTTATAAAAGCGACCCACTACACCCAACCCAGTCCTATCAACCTGGACAGTCATTCATTTTGTAAGTTTTTTTTAAAGTGAAAGATAGATTAATATAATGACAACAGAATTGCTCTACAAGATTTGAATCGGATAACAGCATTACAAGATTACGATGGATAGGAGCAATGAAAAGTCGTTATTTTTTTTTTATAGTTAACATAATATAACATTGGCTAAGCGCCGCTCTTGATATCGTGCGTTCCAACCCCAGATGTGCTCAGAACATTTTATATTTTTACGTTTTATTAACTGTTCTGTATGAGCCAATGTTTTAATTTTTCTGTGGGCTAAAGTGCGCAATTTAAGATAAATTCTTTACCCGTCGTTAAAAAGCCATTTAGATTTATTGAGCTATAGCCGAACTAAAAACTAACTCCAAAAACGACAGTAATACTTTAAACCACGTTTAATTTTCTATGGATGCCATCATACCATGATACCTTGCTTAGTAAACAAAGTTAAATATTTAACTGATCAAGTCCATGTGTACAACTTAGATAATATTTTATATGGAATTGAATTGTTATTAAAATAGATTAATTGAAGCTTATTTATTTAACATTTTACTCAAATGATTATCAAACTGAAAATAACCATAAATAGATGTGCCGCAAGTGTGTAAACATGTTTCATGACAGAAATACGGTTGTGACAAAATTGATCTAATGCTAGGCCCCAGACTAGGGAGCCCCCGATGTGTGTAACTACATTACAATTATGCCGTGGTACACGGTGCATGTTTCCAACCATTTTTTAAGTAGTCTTAGTGTTATATCTAATCAAATAAAATTCGCATAAGACCTAAAGTATACGTGAATGTATAAATATGTTCATGGGTTCGTGTGCGTATAATACACTGTATTTGAGAGTGTGGCTGAGAGTTTTTATCATCGTCCGCAGTGCGTTAGTTTTTGGTACCATCAGAGCTATACCAAAATATGGCTATAGTAAGGCCTCTGCAGAATCGAAACCAAATTCGACTACCATAATTTTTATGCATTTTGTGAGTTCACATCTGGATAGTTTGACTATCTCAGAATGCATAGATTGAAAGATTTTATTACAAAAGGGCTCCTAAGTGTAAAAAAACGTTGGACAAACAGCGCTTTGTTAGGGCGTCGGGAATAAAATTAGATGTCCAAGGAGTTTGTAATATCTTAAGCAGGTCATTGAGATGGTTTTAGGTTTCTAACTGAATAGGTTTTTGTTTCTTAGTGGAAAATAGAACAGTCTACTTGCTGTCTATCTATAATATATCTATAATCAATCACTTCTTATCATCATTAATCGTATAGTGATATTCAGTTTGTGTTAATCAACATAATATATAAACGGAACAGATGGCTGTTTCTTTTATGTTTCACATTTTTAATGTTAATACACATTTAATAATATGGATGGACTTCTATTTATGTTTTGTCAATTCTAATTACTATGTAGATCTAAGATAAATTACATAGTGTCTTTTATGAACAAATCAAACATAAATAAAATAAAATAGAATAAAAAGTACTTGATATGATTATTATTTACCCTATCTCGAAATATTCACTGTATAAATACCTTTATGTAATGATAATTCAAGTAAGTACTCGTTAAACTTCAAACTCGTGTTTGACATCTCTCTCGATTTGACATTAGTAATCATTGCTGTTTGCAATCAAAACATGGAAGTTTGAAAATCATCAAATCTTCCTTGTACGTGATTGCTTTAATTTGTTTGCCTTAACTTTGTGGCCCTTTCTACACGTTTAAGCAATGAAACAGGTAAGCTCTCTATTTTATTTAGCTGTAAAACCTACCTTTATCTACCTAATCAATAATTTCATATTAAGTGAAATAAAATAAATCAGTGGCGCTACAACCTCTCTAGGTCTTGGCCTCAGATTTCTGAATCTGTTTCATGATCATTTTTAATTCTAATAGCCAAGTAGGTGATCAGCCTCCAGTGCCTGACACACGCCGTCGACTTTTTGGGTCTAAGACATGTCGGTTTCCTAACGATGTTTTCCTTCACCGTTCGAGCAAATGTAAAATGCGCACATAGAAAGAAAGTCTATTGGTGCACAGCCGGGGTTCGAACCTACGATCTTAGGTATGAGAATCGCACGCTGAAGCCACTAGGCCAACACTGCTCCATTTCATATTAAGTGAAGGATATTTTAAAGAAAAATCAGTTCAATTTAATTAGTAACTTTTTAATTTTATTTATTTATATACAAAGTTTGAATGCGAAATTCACAATGGTGTGTTAGATACATAACCTAGTTATAGAATAGAAATAGTTACTAATAATTTTAATTAAATAATAGCAGAGCAAAATTGTAATCAAATGATAAGAATTTGTGCAATTTATCGTGAGCGGGATGAGAGAATATGTAAATTATAATGAATATTTAATGAAATATAGTGTTCACGTATTACGAAACAATACCGTTCTACTGTTAATGGTCAGCCGTAATCCTTTTCTAAAGCATGATTAAATCGTAATAGCTTTATATAATAAGAAATATATGAAACAGATTAACAATTTTGGTAATACTTTACATGCGATATACGTTTCATTATAATTAAAAAGGTTTCGATCTGCCTTTACAAAAAAAAATGTTATCTAAATGTGTCGTATTACATATTTGATATTATAATGATTACATCCATAATTTATTCCGCTTTCTTAGACCATTTTTGTACAACGAACGTAATTCTTCCTTAAATAAAAATAAGGTAAAATTGCTGTGTCTAAATTTCTAAAGAGATTACGATGGAACAGAATATTTCTTATACATAGCTATTTGAGATAGACTTTAAATTAAATTCTTCAAACGTTCAATTCACACACCCTTACACATATTCACACACCCACAACCACTCATATTTTGGTTTTATTTTGTTTATCAATTTAGTTTACTCATAGTATGTAGACATCTCTTTGTATAATTTCTATCAGCGATGAAAGGACGACCTGTTACCACAGAACTTCTATAGCCCTATTATAGGCACCAGCCCTTACACAAAGACGGTCAATACCTGCATGTAAATCTGTAAAATGCAATATTGCGAAGAGGCAAAAAACTTTATTATTATCCATAGCTAGGATAGTTATATTATATATCAACTAACGGTAATAAGGTACTAACGGAAGATAAATGGTAGTGTATAGGTTATATGTTTTCGACACACGTTGTAATCACGAGCGACGGCGTGACACGGAATTCGCAATTTAGGTGCGATCGTCTCCTCTCTTGATGGCTCGATTTATTGCGATTTTCGATGTGATACATCAGTTGTTGTGACGTAACAGGGTTTACTCCTTAAGCTGTGTGTGATATACAATAATATTATACCTAACTCCTTTCCATCTGTTTAATCGTGACTTTTGTAATTATAAAATTTTCATGAAGGATAACATCGTGAGGAAACTCGACATGCCTGAGGCCGAAAAGTCGACCCCCGTGCTGTACAGCCAATGGAGGCTTTCTCTTACTGTGCCATTAAATATTAGACTTGAACGGTGAAGGAAACAGATTGAGAAACCGATCCCAGACCCAAGAGGTCGAGGGCCATGATTTTTTTATCATAATATAACGTTCACTAAGTGTACTTGGCTACCTATATCTTTATATATATAATTTTCTGTGAGTGTGTATATTACTGAACTTTCTCAAACGACTGTAATGATTTTGATGAAATTTTTTGTGTGTTCAAGGGGATCTGGGAATGTTTAGAGTCACAAATCAGCCCGGCAAGGAGGTACTGGCAGTCGGTACTTTCAGACTTTGTTTAATATCCTAATCGCTTTAAATATCATGCAGGACAACGTCTGTGGGGTCCACTAGTTAATAATAAAATTATTTTGAGTTTGTGTTTATTTGATTAGATGTAACATTAAGTGTACTTTTTCTTTAAAAAATTGTTTTAAACACTCCACGGATTAATTGTAATCTAGTTAACCACAACAGGGGGGTGGACTAGGGTTGATAAATTTTATCACAACCATATTACCATGAATAAAGTTTTTTATTTATGATTATGAATAAGGATGAACATATAAGTTTACACTTTTAAGATTAGTTTTTACTTTTTTTGTTCTTTTGTAATTGTATAAGTCTACATCTGTAGTTTTATTTTTTGAACTTAGCTATGCACTTTTTGCACTTTGCCTTTAGTATTTCTCTTCCTTTTTCCTTACTAAGGTTGCCAGGAAGAGATCACTTGTTATAAGGCCGCCCGTTGCATCCTTAATTTATATTATCCGAATAAATATATACCAAATATGTAACACAACAAAGTGTTAATAAATTAAAATAAAATAATACTTCATAATTTATAGAATATTTACCTTTTTTTTGGGACTAAATTACGGTATCGTAACCAATGAATATATATAAATTTATATAAAGGATAATGAATAAATTTTGAAGTGGAGGAAAAATAACAAAAGTTTCAGTTTTCTATTGAAATATTTAGAAAATTTATTATTGGTAGAAATTAACAATGAGGTGCAAAAGGCAGGTCAAGTGTGAACAAGAATCTCATTAATAATATTTCAATAGAGACATTTTATTTTCCACATACAAGAGACTCAATGGTTTCTTGGAAAATATAATATAAAAATCAAACCTGGGTTCGACTCCCAGCGAATCAAACGGGTGGACAGAAGGATGGCAGCCAAAAGAAATGTGATTATAAAAAACATGATATTGTTACTAAACTTACCCCAACATAACCAGTCGGAAGCAGTTCTTTGGTGGTGGGGCAGTCTCCTCGCAAGCCTGGTGAAAGGGGGCACTCGGCCCTGCTTCCACACTAGCGTCGCCATCCACTCCAGCACCTCTACGACAGAGCCATGATGTTCCGCACTTATCCTTTGAGTCATCAGCGGGCGCAGCAAATTGGCATTTTCTGGGTGACCTCTGTCTCCCACTTGGTGATAAAGAGGACTTTAGGGGTGATGATGGTGCCCTTACAGGGCTCGGTGAAGCTTTCACTGGACTAGAAGATACCTTTACGGATGACGGCGAGACTTTCAATGGTGATGATTGGAGCGACACAGCCCCAGTGTCCGCTGTACCGTTCAGCATCTCAAAGCATTTTTTATCACTTTTATTATTTCACTATACACTGTATTCTTAGAAAAAAAAATGATTTTCAGTCAATTATCATTTTTGTCTATTAAATAATTCTCAATGTCTAGATGTGTGTATTTGTTTGTTATGTCACGGCGTAGAACTTAATTCTATTATAACTTGATTGTGTATCAGAATTAAGCTCTAAATAGGGATAGTGTAAAGTTTTTTTAATTTTTTTGAATTTAAATTAAACAAAAACAAATAAAACCCAATACTTAAAATGTTTTATAAACCATGTATATACCCAAAATATATAAATAGAACAATAAACTAAAAATAAAATGAAAATAATAAAATAATTAATATAAACTTGCTATATCAGACTATGCCATCAATGCCACATCTAGTAAAAAATCAAATTCGAACATCTGTTTTGCTTGGTTGACTGATCAAGTTTATTATGTCTACCCACATTTTTGTTTCTGTTTTGTTTTGTTATTTTATATATGTACCTACATATTCTGTGCGCTCTAAATTTTAATCTTAGTTTAAATACATATTGTTTCTCGGTAAGTGAATTATATATGCAATTCTTATGAGAAATAAAGTTATTCTTAAACCTAAAAAAGAAAAACATTAAAGAAAAATGAACAAAAGCATAGTATTCAGAATATAAACCAAAAACTTTATCTTTTGTCAAATAAACTAAGGCTTTGTCTATATTAAAGTAAGTACCTTAATTTCGTGTTTTTTGTTCTAGCCCTTTCAGTGTTCAATTGAAAGATTACCTCCAGTAAAGGAGTGACTCAACCTACTATGAGACAGGCATAAAAATATTGTATGAAAAACTAAGTTAGCGTAACATAAATGCTATGGATTAACAAAAAAGCTTAATTAAAGTATATCTCAATGAGCTCTTTTAAGCTCTTTTAAAAAGAAGTTAACTTAGGTTTTATTTTTGAAAGTGGTAACTAAAAGTTCGTTGCAGAAGTAAATTTGAGAAACCATTTCACAGAGCTTCTTCGAGTGTAATTAACTCTAATAAGAAAAGGAACAAATGAAAACGTTTCTGGTTTTTAAATTAAGTTTGAAATCGAAGTTCTATTAAGTGCTCCTAACGAACGACACACGAGTTTCCTGAAATATTTTTCTTTTAGCACTTAATATGATTCAATGAAATTTTATTGATTTCTACGTTTTATTAAGTTCTAATAATAATAATAATTTATTGCAAGAATATGGTACAAAAATGTGTAAGGTGGTACAATCGCAAGTTCGCATATTCTGCCACACAATGGCGCGCAAATTTGTCTTAAAATGAATTTTACATTTTTCATTATTAGTAATATGAATTGGTCAATTCTAATATTATCTGTAACGTACATATCATATCATACGTTATTAAATTTATATCAACTACAGTACTACTACTACTTAACGCAAATAATAATTTATTTAATAATATTTTTTTCGAAAAGTCGATTTTTAAAACCACTAACTAAACCTTGATTGCCATACAAAAGGGGTTTTTCCTAAATAGTTCCAGATTGATTTGTTGGCACAGCCAATTTCTCCCCATGTCTACCTCGACAGATGTTCATTCCCGTTGACATAAAAATATGAAAATATATTATTTTCATTTGCGACTCATTATTACGTAAAATTACCCGCATGAATGCTTGAAAAAATATAGGACAAAGCAATTACACAAATCGGTCAGATAATGTTACCGAGTATCACATAATGCAATCATCAATATATCTCCCGGCAAAAGCACGCGTGTAATCGAATTTATTAAGTTATTTCTCGCAACGTGTATTTTACAGAAGGACGTAATTTTTATATCGACATAAGAGTATTATGAGTTGTTATATAGATAATACTAACAAAGAAAATAAAAAGAAAAGCTGTGTAAAAAGGTTTACTATAAAGTTAACGATTATCTAGTTGATAAAAGGACCTGGGACTAATGCTAGACAGGCTACTTCTAACTAATTTGCGATATTTGTTTTAAAATAAGTGTTGTTTGACATAGTCATTTTGTATGATGATTTGCTACTTTAAAAGAGTACCAGAGTTTTTTACCTCGGCTTTTTCTCTTTGCCTACACCCTCTGTCTTCTTTGCCGATGAGTAGGGATGTCTGCCGATTGTTTAATGACGTGGAATAAGTGATACCTATATCTTATATTCCATAATAAAGTATTTTATTTTTTATTTATTTTAAAATACAACAACAATATAAAATTCATTCATTAACATAATAAACATGTAAGCCAATAACAACTTACCTATTAATAGTATATTTAACATAAGAAAAAGTACAATAATACTACATACAGTACCCTTGTCTTACCCTTAAAAGAGGACAAGGGGCACTTAAAAAATAACATTTTTAAACAAAGTAATAATATAAAATAATATTAAAAGGGGCGTGTACTTATGTCCGCGTTCTTTTCTTATTAAAAATATTTTTCCAATGAAAGATACAACTCTTTTTTTATTCCATTTAGTCCTTCATAATTTTTTTGTTCTTTCCTTTATTTCTAATTAAATCAAATTACATGTTTTGATTAAACAATTGGTTAATTTTTAATCAAAACTTACTCATATTATTCTCGTTAACCTCATTTTGAACATAAAGGTGATGAATTTTTCACAAATATTAATTAGTATTGGTTTAAATATTCAATTTAAATCACTTCTGATTATAATTCAAAAGCATTTAAATTTCTTTAAAAAATAATTAAAACTCCTTTATTTTTTAATAATACAAATGTATTTTTCATTCAAAATTCTCAACTTCACCTATTCTATTTCTTTTTACTTGTAGATTGTCTTATTCCTATCTCCCCTATCACACTCCTAATTTTGTGTCAATATTATAAAATTTCACTCTCATAAATTTTTTAACCTAAAGAAGTATAATCTTAAAAAAGTTTATTTAACCTATTATTTGTATAGAAGTTTGTATATTGCTAAACACTCTTAAAAGTAAAGAAGAAAGGCGAAAATAATGCAAACTTTTTTAATTTATAATTAAGCCAACTAATTTGAACTGGTTTCTAAATTATGCGCTATGGCGAGATAATGTAGTACATTACAGAGATATGGCCGCGCAGGCAAATGGAATTCCCGCTAAAATAATTCCAAAAGCGTATTAACTTCTTCGTTCGGTGTTGCCAGAACATTTCATTTAATTTAGTTTGTGTTTAATACGTACGGCTTAATTTGAAAACTGATACTTGTGTGTTGATTCGCTCCGATTACGCGTTATGTTCCGGCAGTATTTTTGAATTAAAATTGAATTTGCAATTCGAATTTTAAAATTTGTATAATGGCGGACACCAGAAAGAGCATTCATATTGTTTTTTAAAATAAATACATACAGATTACAATTGCAAAATATATAATCGATTCTTTGTGGTTTTTAATTGAGTTTACATACATTTTTTACTCTATAAGTACCTAGTAAAGTATAAAAACGTAATTTCCTTTAAATAAAATAAATTTTAAGCGAACTTAAAATTAGCTAATAAAAAACAGCCATGGACTGTATTCTGACTTCTGCGATTTGTCTCAGTTCTTTCATTAACATGTTTTGGGCAAGTGATCAAGTGTCCCGACCAACAGGAACAAATTATTATTTGGCTGGAACATATGAGCAAGGCTCTTCTAGCTAATGGCAAATAAAGTGACGATGACAATAATTATGACGTCTTCGACTTCAATTTCTATTAATAAAGCCTTAAACTACGTGGTCCGAGAACTCATGCAATTGGAATCACGCAGAATATAACAACGGAGACAGTGGAAGATACTAATTTACTCATAATATGCGAAATTGTTTTGTTAACAAAAACTATTATCTTGGGAATATATATTATATTTATATTAATATTAGCTTCTATTTACTTTCAGATCAATGCGAACCAGTGGCTTTACTGTGCGCGTCTCAACCCTTTGGGAGTTAAAACCACAGCTGTGCAGCAATGGACTTTGTCTTGTGCGTATTTGACAGTCGCTCGTACGGTGGAGTAAAACATCGAGAAAAAAGCAGCATTACCCAAAAGTCGATGCCGTGTGTCAGCCACAGTCTGATTAACTAATAGGAATAATAAAAATAATTACATACATAAGTTTGAGGTAAAGGTTGTAGCGAAAAATACTAGTACTACAGTCTTCTAGTATTTAACATATTATATTATTACTAGCTGGTGCCCTTGACTTCGTATGCGCAAGATTAAAATAATATTTGTTCAAATGATGTAGCGTGAAAGACATATTTTGTATAAATAGATACTTTTATATAAAATATGTCTTTCGTATAATATATACAATCGATAAAAGTATCTATTTTCATTTTGGAATCAATTTATTACTACTAAATGTGCTTTTGATAGTAAATAGCAAATTTTTAACGTACTTATGGTTAACTATTTGGGCTATAATGGCTTACACATAAGACATAGATGTATTCTGTGGCGGGCTTTTTTGTAGGACTATTAAAGATAAACATTTTCATCATACATTACATATGTGTGTAACTCTAGCGGTTTTGGCACCGCACGCCAGAATAGCTCGCAGATGTTAGATTTTTTCCTACTTACTATATATTTTGGACAATTTCCACAATATCTTTATAAATTGTAGCCTATGTGTTATTCTGATGTATAAGCTATATTATTGTAAAGTTTCAATAAAATCCATTCAGTAGTTTCTTACGTGAAAGAGTATCAAACATCCACCCAAACTTACAAACTTTCGCGTTTATAATATTACTAGTAGGATTATTATATATTAAAAATTTAACGCATAGTCATAGAAAGCTAGAGCTAGTTTATGGCTTGATATGTATTTATGTCGTTAGAAATCTGATGAACTATAGCGAGGTGACCAATTCATTTACGGTTCAATTGGCCTCGCCTGTTGATGAATGCTAATCTAGGTCTAAAACATGGCTATATTTACGTTTTTTAATTCCTTGAAAACTACATTATTCATTAGCCAATTAGCAAGATTGTTTCATAATTACTTTGAATTCTCGTAAAATGTTATGGCGACTTTGTTTTAAGGCAACTTCAAAAAGCAATTATTTTGTATCTAGAATTGAATTTTTTTATGAGAATTATGATTGAATGACTTACTTATTTTAGTCAAGCCGAAATAAAATTACTTATACAGTTATTCTTAACCGTATCGAAAACCGACAAAGTTGTTCATTATACCTTTATATATTTCCTTTTAAATAAAACTTCTTTATCGGACGAAAACCCGTATTTTTTTATAGTCTGATGTTAAGTGATACTCAATTGACATTTAATGCCAGAGGACTTGTTGGCGTAGTCGGCCCTTTCAAGTATTTGTTACGCTCTTTTCTTGAAGAAGGGATTTTATTTTATTATTCAAATAACTCCACGTTTGAGGGCTATTCAGCAATCTTGGTCAGCGGGAGACCACAAGTAGACAGATAACTATTCAATATCAGTTAGCCTACTTGATTTCCTTTTATTATAGTTTAATCTCAAAGTATATTTTGAAATAAGAGTATATATAATCTTCGTAATACCCGTCATGATTTCCTTTTATAATAGTTTATTCTTAAAGTATATTTTGAAATAAGATTATTTATAATCTCCGTAATAGCCGTCATGATTTCCTTTTAGAATAGTTTAATCTTAAAGTATATTTTGAAGTAAGATTATTTAAATCTTCGTAATAGCGGTCATGATTTCCTTTTATAATAGTTTCATCTTAAAGTATATTTTGAAATAAGATTATTTATAATCTTCGTAATAGCCTTCATGATTTCCTTTTAGTATAGTTTCATCTTAAAGTATAAAGTATATTTAGAAATAAGATTATTTATAATCTTCGTAATAGCCGTCATGATTTCCTTTTATAATAGTTCAATCTTAAAGTATATTTTGAAATAAGATTTATAAAACTATTCAAATCACAGAGTCTATAGATAAAACATTTTTGGACGAAAACTGATAACATTGTTACACGGCAACATTGTGCCGGTGAATCAAATATTGCGCGTTCACAAGTTTTAATTGGGTCGTTTTGGTGCAAACCTCGTCCAATATGACCGCAGTGAGGGGAGTGACTGTTCAATAAAAGCGTTAATAAAACACGTTTAAGATGTAACACCAGTGAACGAAGGGTTTCCCTTGTATGATATAAACTTATAAAATGAATATTAAGAAGGTTGATAGCGATAAAGGAGAAAGAAGATTATGTTAGCAAAAAATTACCTTGTGTGTACTTGTACACGCGTTAGAAGTTATACTTCTTTGGCGTAACAAGATAAAAATATTTTCAAAATTTTATCTTTTGCCTTATTCTACGTTTGTAGAAAAACACGCCTGGTTATTCGGACACTGATTCTCTACGTAACAAGATTGGTTAGAACTGGCAGCGACACAAGCGCTATTATTATTGGCTAAATTATGATTATTATTATTGGTCGTGTGAAGTCCTGCAGTCAACAGAACAAGAGACAGGCGTACATGGAGCTCAAACATGCCTGACACATTTTTGGTTACAACATTTATCCTCTTTTTCGTTTGCTTGGGTACCTTTTTTGCTCCACTTTTCTGTTCGTCTTGTCATTCTTTAATTGTTTTCCTTAAAGCTATGACTAATGGAACAATTCCTGCATAAACAGGGTTCAAATGCACGAAAGCTTCAATTTCTAACTCATCGTCGGCTTCGCGGTTCTCTAAAAACAAGAAAGAATATAAAAAAAACAAGAATTCAATATAGGCCAGTTGTATTAATCGAAATTTTATGTCAATCCCGGAGTCACGGAGTAAACGACATCGGATCTGTGTGATTAGTCGTTAATATGGGGTTTGATGGTCCACTCATAAAATGTAACGTGTCTCGAGGGCCGTTACACGTAATGCGTGGGCCTCGTGAGAAATTATTAATGACATTAGTTTCTATACGCTTGAAAAAGTTTCCGAGAGTTCTAAATTTGAAATTGCTATACTTGAATTACGATCGTAAAAATATTAAAGAAAAATTCAAATTCTATGCACGAGATATTATACTCTGAGGCAAAGGTAATTTTGTTGGCGTCATTTATACGCTTTATTAGTTTGATAGTTCCATCCGAATATATAAGACGACAGACGTTGATTAAACTAAATAGGGGATAGTGAGGAACCAGCTTTTAAAAAATTGTTGAACTACGAGTCTCGAGGCAACCGCAAGTTATCGATTTATTAGGTTATATATGAAAATTGACTTTTCAAAATTGTTCTTAAAATTCGAAAAAATCTACATACTAATAAATAATTGCATTTGAAGCTTAAGACATCTTTTAGTTTTTATTGGGTGTATTGAAAACAATATTAAGTTATACGAAAAAATTTATCAAATTTTTATTATTGACGTCTGAACCTAAATGGGGAAAAAAATGGACTTTTGGGAAAAGTGACTTGTATTACAAGTTTGGCGAATTTCATAGGGATCCTGAAAAGGTATTACACCAGGCCATGAGTACTCTTTTTTTCTAGGAAGAAAAACCAGAATAACGACTGTGAAATAATTGTTTGTATAAAACAAAACTTTTAGAATATGCTCAAAATTCCTGCCTCTGGCCATAATGCATAATCTGACCTTATTAAAATTCTGACGGTATCTTAAGAAATGCACCTCTCCTATTAATAACTTGTAACAAAGCAAATTCTAGTTTTTGTCGAAGTTCTAGTTGACTATTGTTCTCTCTTTCATAAACTATTTCTTTAAAATATCCCCAAAGAAAAACATCCAATGGGATTTAAATCGGGCTGGCCACGCAATAGGCCGCCTCGACCAATCCACCGGTTGCGGAAAGCGACTCGTTCAAATGATCTCTAACCGCTCGAGCGTAGTGAGGCTGGGCGCATTGTCGTGCTGAAGCGACTGCAGTTTCTGCCAATAATTGCGTCGGGAACCTCAGGTTCGTAAAGAATTTGGTTTAAATTATTTCGTAAAAAATTCAAACACATAGCACCATTCAGCCTTGCTTCGGCATTTCCTGAAGCACCACGGCCATGAATACCAGCCCACATGTTTAAACCAAACGAGATGCTGGAACCGATCATTTCTTATGATATGTGGGTTAACTCTGGAGCAATAAGGAAGGTTATGGATATCGAATACAGCCACTCTTGGAAAATTCGACTCTCCGAAGACCCTGTTGAAGAACTGCGATCCTCTCTATGGTATCTTAGCCATCTCTCTGCAAAATCTACATTCTAGGTTCATAGTCAACAGGGCGCACCGCCTTGCACCTTTTGCAAGTGTAGGCAGATATTTGCTCTCTTTGAATAAATGTTGCACCGTCGATCTTGGTGACCCCGAGTTACGGATATGTCCCGTTGAGGCCTTATCTGGATCAAGGTTGGCTTCCATCAGCACTTGATCTTCATTTTCAAATTGCACTAATGGTCTACCTGCTCTCAGAGCCTTCTGACCGGGTAAGACTCCCTCCATGTACGTATTATGTACGCGCATAAAGACCCTGTAGTCCGGAAAATGATCACGGTTAGGGTAGCGGTCACGATATTCCCTGGCAGCAGCTCGGGAGCATTGCCGTGGCGAAACTACAGGTAATGCTTTCTGCATACTCCCGTTGAGTGTATTCCATCCTCACAGCAGCCATCTGTCCACTTTTGTAGCCAATCCGTCCGATTCACACAGCACTAGTCACAGGTAGGAAATCTATCACAAGTCCGAAAAACAAAGCGTGGGTCATAGGAAAGAAACTGATCACAAGTCGTCGTAAATCCGAGGAAATAAACACGTGCGTAGGCAGGAATTTTGAGGATTATTTGTAAAAGTTTCCTTTTGTTTTCTACAAACAATTACAATTTCGCAATCGTTGTTTTGTTTTTTCTTCCTAGAATAGTATTAGAGCTATCATGTGTGTTATACCTTTAGCGATCCCTATAATGGGCAAATGTAATACAGGGTCACTTTTCGGTAGGTATTTTTTTTTACAGTGGGGTCCGAAGTAAATAAGCAAGTTCTGATTGGAATAAATTTTTGCGTAAATCTGAGTATTTTCTCCAATACACCCAATAAACACCAAAATAGCATGTCTAACCAAGGACACTTCATTACCAATCTAGTGATATTATGAAAAGATACAGGATGTAGATTTTTCGAATTTTAAGAAGAATTAGTAAAAAGTCAATTTTCATTAAAAACCAAAATAAATCATAACTCTGCAGGGGTTGACCTCAGAGACCCTCCCGTAGAACATTTTTTGCGCTGATGACCTGTCTATCCCTTATTTGAGTTTGTATCCACGGCTTTTTGGCCACCCTGTATTGAGACGACAGACGTTGAGTATAGATTTAGAACTAAACTTTTGAATTAGTTATTAAGATAACCCGTATGATTATAGTCGTGCCTGCAACATATTCATAACCGCCAATTTTTGAAGTTGTATATAATGATGTCTATTATTTTTGTTAATGTGTAAAGGTTACTACACAGTTGTTGACTATCTAGAAGATAAAAACGCTTGGCAATAGTTCTAATTAATTTCTTGTAATTTGTTTTGTTATCTTTGAAGTGTTGTGAATATGTGTGTAATGGTGAATGTGGTAAAACACAGAGGAGATTTTTTTTTTACTTATGTAACTTTCATGACGTTGTGGTTTATGACATTTTCCTTTGAATTATTGTAATGTAGAGGGAGAGTAATACTTGCTGAGTTTCTTGCCCGTTCTTCTCTGAACAAGGCCTCCTGGTAGTTTTGCGAACGGATGGCGAAGTCTTGCTCTTTCGCGAATTTTGTAAACGTTATTGACATTCATAAGAATGCCCTAAGACGCATCTAAATCGAATAAACGTAGTTTGATTTGATTTCATTTCATTTTACATTTCATATTAAGTTACGTTATGTTCTCTAATACCCTGCAGCAAGGTATTCAGTTTTCCGCAAATATTCATAACATATGTGACATGATGGACATGCAGCCTATAAAATAAATTCTAAGCTTCACCACCATTTCTACTTCTACATTACGTAGTGTATTTACGGTTTTCATATCCCGTATCTTAATAACGGCGTGGTGGATATGTGGATTCTAATTTTAAAATGCCAGTCATAATTACTACGTATTGTGTATTGATAATAATAGACTTAAATGGTCTATGACTAATATCTATAGCAGATTCAATTAAACTAAAAGGTTAAAGCAATCTGAGTCAGTCGGTTAAAACTTTATTTATACATATAAATAATAAAGAATAAATAACATACAAAATATACCAAAAATATAGAATATTCGAAAGTACCATTCATAGCAATTATAAGGTTTTGCCGAAGATACAAAACAAGAGAAGAAACATTAAGCAGCCTTTATTTGCGAAGTGTTGAGTTGTAAAGCAATTAGCGCTGACGGTGAAATTTCTTACAAATCAACTCTGTTTTATATCAAGTTTTCTCTTTATAGCCAAAGGCTTTTATACCCGTAAACGTTGCTTGAAAAGTAGGCGTATTTTCGCTCATAACATTCCTTATTGTAAGCTGGTTGACTCTTTAATTCCCTCTTGTGAGGATTTCATTATTCTTTCGAAATTTCGGAAGTCGTTTTTAATGATATAAAATGTTTTATGTGAGATAAAAAACATGAGTGCTATTGATGTTTTTCGTGTATGTATATTGTTTGAAAAGAAGGAAAATTTCGGAGTATAATAAATCTATTCATATGAATTTAGAAATTTAAGATGATGAGAATAAATACATAATGCTGATAATATTAATAACTCAGTCTCAATTTTATTCCATGAAACATTCATCCATCGTTACAAAAGATAAACATGTTAAAAATTTCATACAAAAATAATTTTTATTTTCAAGGGCAAAGTATACGCCTCCACTTACTGGCTCCATATCTCTCTATCTTGAGCATTTTTCTACCAATCTTCCCCACCAACTTCTTTAAGCTTGTCAAGGACAATACTTGTTGAAAAACACTACCTATATATCACATTTCAATTGATAAAATTATTAGTTATCTACCAACATAGAGAGCTATATTTCAACAAAATGTATTTATCATATAATAAAATGTGTATTTACTATCGCTGACTGCGACTACTGAAAAGCTCTAGAATTGTTTAATGGCTATGTTATTAGACATATAATTATAGATAAAGAATAATTAAAGTAGCAGCGGGGCACATGGCAAGAGGAACAGAAAAGTTGAGCAAGAAAGTATTAAATTGGACCCTATATACGCAAAAAATAAAGACAATTTAGAAGGTGGATATACAATATTAAGAAAACAGCAGGTACATGGCAGAGAGTGGCATAGTGCAGAAATGGCGGAATTCGTAGGAGGACTTTCCCATGAAAGGGCACACAGATATTTAAAAAGAATGAGATAATAGAAACATAAATGCATTTATTTGTAAATGTATCTAAATTAAAGGCTATTATTATTATGTTGTTTATGCAAATAGATTAACTACTATACTCGTACATTTTAACCAGTGTTAGCGACCTTTAAGAGCGACCAACCCGTCTATCTTTTCATACAAACGCTCGTACGTGATTATGGCGTTGTAACAGATATTTCTTTGAAACTTTTGAACTAATAGGCACCTTATGCACTATATCTAGGTTTCTATTTAAACGCGAAATCAAAATTTTAAGAAACAAATTCAGTACAAACCTCAAAAAATCAGCCTTTTTGCACAAATTTTTATATGAAGTTTGGGCGTTTATAATGTACTCATTAATTGTAACCGGAAATAAATATTTGCATAGAAACCTTGCAAATGTAATGGAGTTTCTAAATGTAAAACTTTTTTTTCATAATCTTGTAAGGCTTACGAAAAAACACGTATTTCTTGGAACAAGTTTTATGAAATTTCCGCACACTATTTTTTTTTCAATGTTATCGCATTCTTACTTGCTGACATTGCGCTGGATGATACAACAAGCTTTTTGGCCATGCTCGCGTTGACGTTCGTCGGACGGGGAAGGGCGCTCTTAATTTGGTTGTCCAGTGTTATATTACATTCAGCTCATAGAGAAAATCCATTATGATGTCGTTGAGGAAGTCGTAACTACGGACGTATACTAGGGAGTTCCCTAGTCCTAAGTTGCAAAGCTTGTTAAACGCTATCACTCTTACTTAGCTAAGCAATTGTAGTTCATTTGAAATAAATTAACAAGATAAAAAATATAGTACCGATATTTTTCAGTGCCTTAGGGAATGGCTCTCATAAAACGCTCAAATATGTATATTTATTATGTATTTGAGAAGAAACAGCTGAGGTCTCATCGCGCTTTATATTTCTAAATATTTCGTAAGCCTGATGTAGAATTTGTATGATACAACAAGAGAACACTTTATCTAACTATATAAAACAATGACGTGTTAGTTACACCACTTATAACTTAAGATCGGCTAGACCGATGTTAGTTATCTCTCTTTTGATGGATTCATCTCCTAAATATGGGATTAGTTATCGAATAACTATAAATTAATTAATTAATTTTACGAATGAAAACAGCATGTGGCGCCATCTGTTGACGAAACTACGCATATAAATAAAATTATCGCACAAATCAACAAAATAAATTGTACTTAGTTAATCTTAGTATGTACACAATTTAACATTTATTTCATATCAAAAGATTGAGAAATTATTTCTAAGACGCCTGACCTGAGAAAGATCTTTATGGAGAGAAAAACCTGGAAAAATTGCACGGATAAACCTAAAAACAAGTTTTCTTTTGCTGTAATTGTGAACGCAAACAGTTTCTATGGGGTAGCATACCAAAATATACCATATGTTGGTATGTAGCTACTAAAAAGGTAGGCTAAGTAAAATCATATTAAGGCGGAACGAAGTTCGCGGGGGCAGCTAGTGATCTATATTTATGAAAAGAGTGGACCACAATGTCTGATAATACACCTCCGAGTTTAACTATCTTTTGATGAATAAAAAGTTTAGGTTCAAGAGGTGTCGAAGTTGTTGAGTTACAAGTGCCTAAAGTACACTACTTTTTATTAATATGTTTCCGTTTTATTATTGTGTATACTTTAATTAATTTATATTTTTTCCAGGGAACTCTTAGGAAGACTCAACTTCAAGAGATGACTTCCAACGAAACACCCACTCGTTAATTACTTGTTTGCTTCTGAAAATTATATTTTAGTAAAATATAATATTCCTAGAAAAAGTAGAACATGATAATTTTCTATATTTTTTATGTGTAAAATAAAATATTTCTCAATGCGAAATTAAAATCACTAGAATTATCTTAAAACTATTTTCGTTATATAAAGTTACCGTGAACACTAAACTCAAATCGTTCTCAAGAGAAATAATTTTTAGTAATACAACTGTTAGTTACTGCCTATATTTTCAATATACAGTGTAGACTCTTTATAACGAATTTTAGGGGCAAGCATTTTGATTCGTTATATAGAGATTTCATGTTATAGAGAAGAAAGAATTAATGTATGGGTATTGGGTTAAACCAAATAAATATAACTCATTATTTACGTTATAGAAGAGCATTTCGCTATAACCAATTACGTTATAAAGAGTTAACACAGTATGTACCTAAAACGTTATATCGTATTTACCGTACA